AGTGTTCTACAGCAAATCTAAGCCAGCGTCTAGGCCTAGAATTTTGACACTAGGGTTAAAAATAAAGAACTCTTGATTTAAAACGAATATATTACTATGGGGTTAAAAATAGGCAAACGGAATAGACATTAATGGGTACTCCTCTAGGGAAGTCCGAAATGGAAAAAGATCTGGGGGTCATAGTAGACCACAGATTGAATAATAGCTTGCAATGCCAGGCTGCTGCAAACAAAGCGAGTTCTGGCTTAAAAAGGAAATTTACTGTAGAGACAAATCTATTATTTTACCACTTCACAGATCGCTGGTTTGGCCTCATCTTGAGTATGCGGTCCAGTTTTGGTCACCAATACACAGAAAGGATGTCCTTGAGCTGGAAAGAGTCCAGGGAAGGGCAACCAAACTAATTAAGGGGATGGAGGACCAAAGCTATGAGGCAAGGCTTCTAAATTTAAACATGTTCACGCTGGAGGTGAGGAGATTAAAAGGGATTTTCATGTACAAGATGTTCAATGGGGATAGCAACATCAGCAATAAAACGTATTAAGGTAAACTCCATAACAAAGACTAGAATCCACCACCTAAAACTGGTGGAGAAAAGATTTCAGCACAAGGGGCGAAGAAGCTTCTTCACAGTTAGAGCGGTTAGGGTCTGGAACTCGCTGCCGCAAGCAGTGATTTCAGCTGAGAGTATTCAATCTTTCAAAAAGCACTTGGACCGTAACATTCAGGGGTACAGGTACTCTTAAGAACAAGAACACACAGGGACTCATACACACGCAATGGGTTGAACTTGATGGACCAGTTTCTTTATTCAACCTCAAATACTATGTAACTATATATAACCCTGCAGAGAATTTGTGCAAATATAGAAATTTTCCTACTTTCCAAGATCTGCCTCAATATGAAAATGAGCTCCCTAGCAAAGCCAACAACTAGAATAATTAGATGTCAGCATTTTAAGTTATGGCTGCTCCCTGGGGAGATGGGCAACAGAGTTTTGCGAATTCCAGCATCTCCGGCATGTAGCTTTTTCCAGTCATTGCTGCAGATCAGAGGCTTTCTAGAAGCACTGCACATCTGGTAGCAAAGGAAAGAAGACTCATGTTTGTAGGGAAAAACAAAAAACAACACATCTGGTTAATTCTGTTTTGTATGTATGAGGTGCCTGCAGTGACACAAAGTATTGGTGGGAAGCTGCACATACATTTTTTTAATTATTCTGTATTTCAGGGGCTGCTAGAGCCATGTACATTTTTAGGTTATAAGCCCTCACGGGCAGGGCCCTCCTTATCATCTTGTCTTGATTAGTATTGCGATTGTAATGTCTTCCTTATATTGTAAAGCGCTGCCCAAACTGTTGGCGCTATATAAATCTTGTATAATAAATAATAATGTAGACCCCCAATTACAGTAAGCTTTTTCAAAAACTGCAGTGGGATTTTGTTACTCCAGGCAGATACAGAGATCTAAAATCATAAATACATCATTATCGGGATGATTTATAAATCATCTGCTGAAACATATGCTGGCTGAACGCTGTTCGCACGGCATTCTAGACACTAAATAGAATTTCCCAATGCCATGCGAATGGCGTATGTCTCGGCAGAGGATTTATAAATCATCCTGTAAATGTATTTTGTGAAATGCAAGCAGTGCAAGTACCGGAATTTGATTTGGCATAAGTTGCTTGCAGTAGACTGTACAGTCTGTATACCAAAACTCAGAAAAGAAGAGGGAGAGCAGCAAAAGCAGCCAAAACATATGTACTGCAGTGCAAAGACTCATGTGACTAGGAGAAAAGAGCAGGTTGACAAAGAGACTAACTCATCAGTTTGCAGATTCTCATTTCACTGTACAGTTGCAGGTTGGGGTGAACAAGAGAACTGTAATTGAAACTACAGCAGAGAAAGATCAGGTCCCCCTCCCCTGCTAGAGGGGGTTGTGCTGTGAGGCACAGCTCTGTAAGGCTGGGTTCACAGCTACAAGTGGTGGTTTGGCTTCCGCGTTTGTACATGCGCAAACGTGGACCAAAAACGTGCGTTTTTCTGATCGCGTTTGGGGTGCCATTAGAAATGTATGGCACCGCAAGCATGTTGCCCGTTTTGCCGCGTCTCCACAAATGTGCGCTACTGGTGCACGTTGTGCATGGGGCCTAAATATCAGGACAGGATATTTAGAAATACAAAATTGCGAGTATTCAATCTCTTCTTTAGCAGGTACACTGGTCTCAATTTTTGTTTTTGCTTTAATTATAGGGTCACATCAAAAGTGCAAAGCTATGGCCAGTCAAGCATTTTGATATTCTAAACAAGCACTAAATAAGCTTTAAAAAGGGTAAATCCACACCACTCCCCGCCCCCAATGTTCATACCTTTACGCTGCAAGCGCTAGCCCCTCCCCGTCAGCCAGTGTACAGTCCATACACTGTATACAGTACTGCAATACTCAGTTTGTATTAGGCATAGTGCCTGCAAATGGTGAGCGCTGATTGGTCAGCCCGGAAAATATAAAGCATTAAATCTGATTGATTTTGATGGGTTACTGTCCCTTGCACATGCTCACTGGTCTTAGTAATGTCCTAATAAATATCATATAGCATTTACGACTATGTGCCCCATGAGGGAAAACATGTGAAATGGAACAAGAAATGGTTATTATGGGCAGGAAGAACAGTGCTTTCAGTCATGGCTCAAAGGTTTCTATAAAGTTAGACCTATAACTGAACATCAAAGCCGACTATAAACATGCTGAGATCTTACCAAAAATCACTGCTAGGGGAACATGTGCCAGTCCTTTCAAGCTTTACTGAATCACCGTGATTTAATCTAATTAATAAATAGATTAAATCAGATTTAATTTACCTTTCCTTTTATCCACAGAAGAAGGGATGATCAAAACTTGCCGACACAGTGATTTTCCAACAATGATCTACAAATAGATACTTGTAGATAAATGCAGGCTTTTTGTTCTTTGCATACCTTATTTCTCTATCCCTCCCCATTCTTATGGTGGACATTTTTTACCAAGTCAAATTAATCCCATCTCCCTTTACTTCCTGGAACATGTGACTAGGACATGTGACCATGCACATCTCAGGGAAGGAAAATGCCTTTCCTTGAGGTCTTGCAAATTTTTGCAGCTTACAAATGAGATTTCCTAGCGATGCACTGTGATGTAACCTTCCCAGGAAGCATCTCTTAGGCATTGGCTAGATCACTAAGGTCTAAGACCAGCAAGTGGGAAAACAGTATTGTAAGTAAAAGAAAAATAGATTTAAAAATGAATGCAAGATGATTTCATATCAGTATGCAGAGCGGAGTGCGGATGTGAATTTTAGTGAAAGGGGGTAAAGGTCCACTTTAAATTGTTTATTCACTTACTGTAAATATCCATCAGCTGGACCCCCAAGAAGCACATCAGAAATGACAATGGAAGGTTCACCATTTTCAAAGTGTGGATTATCTTTTCCTCCAGAGACTGCAATCCCGAATCCTTTTTTGCTATGCTTTAAAAAGTAGAACAATACAAAGCTGATTTATCCTGGAAAAACATTGTCACTGACAAAAGTTACAAGATAGATATTTTGTTGCAGAAGGGTTCAAACTTCTAAAATCAGGATTCACTTGCTGTCCATCTCCCCAGAGAAATTTTTCCAAGTTCCTGGGCTGTCACCAGGAAAGCACCAGAGGGAAAAAAATGGGGACATAGACAACAATAAAACCATTGATTTAAGTAGAGTGGTTAAGCATAATAATCTCTTTCAGGTTTTATGTCTGTGCACAAAATGTATGAAATCTCCCCAACTGGAAACATACAGCAGTAAAACACTGACTGTTCCCTATTCTACCCAAGAAAAAAACGGGTACAAATTTTACTTTAATCCTTTTAGTGTCAGTGCCAATTTAGAATTGTAAGAAGATTTGATCAGTTGCTGCAGAAGTACACAAGGGGAAAAAAAAAAAAGACAATAAACGACTCCCTCTTCCCGTCTGCAATTAACCTCCAGGTCATAATGAACAGATCATGAAATCTGCTGCATGAATGTCAAATCTTCTCATGAGTGTGTGCAATGATTTACAGAAACAAATTCTATTTTCCGGCATGTGTGGTGATGGAACCCGAAAAAGGGAAACAAGCTCTCCTAAACTGAAAGGTGAACTTTGACTGTAAACTTTCATTAATACACTATATGCCAATGCCACACATTACTTGTTCTCCCTGTACTATGGAGGAATTTAACAAGTCCATTCTGGGGGCATGTCGACTATTTAAAAGTGGTATAGGGGAAATTGCTGGAAAGTAATTTTTCCATTCTTTTATCAAAAAAAAAGTGTTAAAATGTATTACCAAAGAAAAGCTCTTCAGGTTAAAAAATAAATAATTGCTCAGTTTAATAGAAGAGCATAGAATAAAAAACAAACATTTTGACTGAAACTGATAGAACTTAAAAGCAAAAGTGTTAATCCAACAGGGGGTAAAAGTCCTGAGACTGCAGCAGTCACATACAAAAAGGGAAGAGCCGGTAGCAATATTGCATCTTATAATGATACACACCTGGGACTGCTGTCTGGGTATGACACATTGAACAGTTTAACTTTTCTTTAATTTTTGTATTTCATTTGGTCACTGCATGTCCCCTTTTTATGAAAAGTACCTTCATAGGTTGTCTTTGGGAAGCATTACATTTCTGTTTCAGAGACTGGTTATCCCAGCCAGCCTCCTGTTTGCTGCATTAGGTAGTTCAGAGCCTTGGATGCTGGCAGAGTTAAGTCTTTCTTTCCCCTTCTGGCCTTGCTCCCTTCTTACCATCTCTGCCCAGCTCCAGTGTTTAGTGTCCAACAGTTCCATGTCGCCTAGTGGCTCAGGACACTGAAAGCAAGGCACCAGTGCAGTGGATGCAGGATGGCTCATCTGCACAGATCAAATATGCCTATGTAGATGCCACATAATGACAAAAGGGGTTCTCCAACCACTGTCCATACATCCACCTGTAGTACCAGTGCTGCAAGAGCCAGCCCACAGAATGGGCTTGAATTGTAGTCTAGCAGAACTCACCTATGCTTGCAGTAGGCTGGCAGGGTGCACCTGTGTGTGCAGAAGACACATAGAGTACCCTGAATCTGGCTGCTGATAATGGGCGTTTGATACATCTTGGGATGTCTCTGTTCTGTCACCTACTCTTGCTCATTGTACCCACATGGCACTGCAAGCGCGGTTCGCGTTTCCCCGATTCTGCAGTGGTCTCAAAGCCACTGCAGAATATCTGATGCATCTGGGTATGTTGGAGCATCCAAGTACTTCCCATGATGTAGTATTTGGGTCTAGTGACCAATCGCTAGGTCTGAACACTGTCAAATGATGGAGGGGGTGACCTTTTTGCCCCTTATAAGCTCTGAAACCAGCCAACCCCGGGTATTTGAATCGCTTTTAAATGGAGAAAGATGAGGTAGGGGAAGTGCTGTGAAGGTTAGGATAAGTAGGTTGGGGTGTGGGCTTTAACCACTTGAACACCAGGGTGTTAACCCCCCCTTTCTGTCCAGGCCATTTTTCAGTATTCAGCGTTGCTTTACTTTGACTGACATTTATTCCTTCATGCAATGCTGTATTGAAATTAATTTTATACCATTTTGTGGGGACAGATAGAGCTTTCTTTTGGTGGTATTTAATCAGCACTGGTGTTTTTTGTTTTTTTTTACTATAGAACAAAAAAGTGCCGAAAATTTTGAAAAAAAAAAAATGGGTTTCCCTATGAAATGTTATGAAACATTTATTATCACCCTCATTTTTTGGTAAAATATAAAAGAAGGGGTCACGTCAGGTAAATAGACACCAAACATGTCAGGCCTTAAAATTGCACTACCGCAAAATCACAAAAAACTACCACACCCAAAATTGGCCATAGGCGACGCTTTAAAAGCTTTTATCGCTCAATAGTTTAGTGTTAACGGTGATTAATGGCCCTAGAATTATTGCTCTCACTCAGACGTTCGTGGTGATATGCAACATGTGCGGTGCAACCGTAATTTTTGCATGTAGGCGCATGCATGTGTATGTGGGGACGGGGGACTGTAACATTTTTTTTTTCCTATATGATTTGATTTTTTTTTATGCTTTAAATTTTTTTTAAACTTTTTTTTTTTACACCTAAACTTTATTGCCATCACATAGGGGGGCTAAGAAGCTCCCCATGCGATAGCCAATTTACATGACAGGTCCTCTTTATGCAGACATCAGGGCTCCCCAAGACCCCTGGTGTCACCTAGGGACCCCCAGAGAAGATGATGAGAGATCTGCTTCACTAGCTTTTCACTGGCTTCTGTAGCCGGGAATGACAGCTGAATGCGGAAGTTATGTTATGTACATCACTTCCGGCATTCACAGACCGGCGGGGAGATCAGAGGGAGTCGAGTACTGTTCTCTCTTTGATCTCTGGTGACAAGGCTGCTATGCTGTTCCCGGCCCGCACTGGGCACAGCGGATCTCTGGACCAGCGGCGGCTGCACACCAGCACAAAATACAAGCGATCGGGCGTCGCTACAGGCGCCGGAACGCTTGTATTTAGACAGCCATTGCCAGCTGTTTACATTTAATGTACTTTTTCCACTCGTACACGTGCTGGGCGCTGCGCACGAGTGGGGGAGGGAAGGGATGTCTTAAAACGCCCACCCGCATCCACAAGGCTCCCGTCCGGCCGTTCAGGTACGGCCAATGGATGGGAGGTGGTGTACCTGTGCCCTCAATAAGCAAGGCGACAGGGCCTGTTTAGGCATTTTGACCAAGAACATCACTGTCATTAGACTCAGTACATGAAGGCACGGAGTAAAGCTGTAAATGCATGCAATACTTCCTAGTCATTTTAAGAGACTTGGGGAGCTAGAACGCTGCAGTTATGTGGTGTTTTTAAAAGAAGAAAAAAAAAACCTTTAATGTGCTTACCTTCTGTAAGGTCACCGTGTACTGCTCCCATATAGTCTCCTCCATGCTGGAGGTCTAGATTAAAGAAAGGAAACAATCATTAGACCTCCAAGAAGAATTCATAGTGCCAAGAAGTATGTTTATTCAAACTATAATATTTAGTCATAATACAAGACATGCTATAAGGCATATTCTATTTACTCAAACAACAAATATATTTTCTTCTTTTTAAATTGAGCCTGGCATTAAAAAGAAACTATTGGATCTTTAAAGTGCATCTAAAGCCAATGCATTTTGTTTAGTTTTGGCTAGAGTGTAGGAGTATTGGAAGCTCAGTCATGTTCTTATTTTGGTCTGCCGCCCCATCCCCTGAAATTCAACCCTTTAACTATTCAGTACTCTACCCCCCCCCCAAAAAAAAAAAATTAGTCAAAACTTTTGTTTTTTGTAGTGGGTGTGAGGTTACAACCTGTTTTGTTTAATTGCCGTCTTTGCTCAGGGAGCTTTTTCCTCACTTCCTGTCCCAGTGACCACACAGAATGTAAGAGGAATCGCCTCAAATGGACACACACACGAAAAATGAAACACGCACATAAGTTTTAACCATTCCCCACACATATGCTATACTTGTTTCTGTATCTTTGAGAAAGAGAATCCAACAAAGGGACACACACCAGAAGTTCAGAAAAACCTCCTCTATCAGACAACAGTACAAACCTAAAAGGGTTTTAACTCTTCCGTTTTCTATCCAAAACTAAAAATACTTAACCTATTGTAAGGCTCCAAAGAAGAAATCCGCAAAGTTGATATTTGTAAATTTGAAGGAGGTAAGTGTAATGTGTAAAGCATACCTACCTAGCATCCCCAGAGATAAAGGGGTCTGTTATGACCAATCATAAAATCCACAAAGACTAAAAGGGTCTGCTAGGACTAGGGATGCACCGATATTGGTTTTTCGTTTTGACTTTTTTTTTTTTTTTTTTTATCAGTACTCGCAGATACTAAATACCGATACTGGCATCCGTGGGCCCAGATTATCAGGATTCCTGATTCTTTTGATAGAACACCGGCTTCACTCCCCTCGCAACACTGCGAGACAGCCAGAGGCGAGTCAAAACCCGCCGCCTGGCTTCCTGATTGGAACCTGCTTCCCAGCCATGCTCCCTTGCGGATTGACGTGCTGCACAGCTTCCCGATTCATTTGCTGCTAGGCAGCCTGGTTTCCTTTATAAATTCTTTATTTTTAGAAACATTTCATAGACAAAAAGGAGTGTTAAGAACAAATACAAAGACATAGGCAATACAGTCATAAATACATCAAAGAAAAAAAAGATCCTAATATGTAGGGGTCCAAGAATCAGTGAGCAAAACAACATCCTGTAGTATTTCTGACGATACAATGAGATATATTCAAGTCATGAGTACATATAGCAGCTGTATGTCATAGTACATATAAAAAGGTAGATTACAGGGTCCTCACTACATCGGGAGAGGAAATCAGAATGACAGTGAGAAAAAAGTAAAAGCAACCTGGTTTCCTGACCAATTAGGAAGCCGGAAGGCGAGTCAGAGCCCACCGCCTGGCTTTCTGATTGGCTGGGAAGCGGACTCCATGCTCCCTCGTGGCACTGCCGGTCAGAAAGAGATCTCAGTCTTACCGGAAGTTCCAGTATCAGGGTAAGTATTGGAGCATTTACTATTATCGGTGCATCCCTAGCTATGACCAATCAGAAAAAATCACCAGTGACTAAAAGGGGACTGCGATGACCACTTCGAAAATCCCCAGCAACTAAATGGATCTGCTATAACCAATCAGAAAGTCCCTAAAAACTAAAAAGGGACCTACTATATATTGCCAATCAGAAAATCCCAAGAAAATTACTTGGCAGCCAGGGACCATGTGATCTTGGCTGCCTAGGCTGGAAGCTGGTAAGGAGAATTCTTTACGCATGGCAAGAACAATATGAGACCAGTCACATCTGGTACTTCCTTTATTTTCATAAGACAGAAGATGTTCCTTTGATTTTGTATTAATTGCAACATGCAGAATGTGGAAGCATGGGTGTGTCATCTGAAGCATAAAAATATTTGTGTAATAGCTAGTTGTGCCCACACCTCATGGAAGTACAGCATCTCTGACCTGACTTCTGACAAAGGAAAAAGCTATAACCCGGGAGGTAGTGTCTACATAGGAAGAGAGAGTATGTTAAAAATATGAAGAGCATACAAATCATCCGGAAAAAAAAGTTACTCAGCTGTCAATCTGTATCACTTGGAGGATGCAAATGGGGAAAATTGAAATGGATTGTGTGATTTGGTGTGAAACGGACTATTGGACGCCTAACCAACTGTCACTAAAACTACAGATATTGACTCTGTGCTGCATTCTGGGATTTCTCCGGCAAGAACCTTTCGGCAGGGATCACAGGGTCCTTGGTCACATGCGGACACTGTGCCCATTCAGGTTAATGAAAGTGTGACAACGGTCGCATCTGTCAGCGGAAGTCTGCTGTTTCGTACATGGTATGATTACATGTGGTTTGGCATGGATGATTATTCCTGGAGGCATGTATCCTGCATCCACCAAAAGTCTTCTATCCCAAATTGCATGTAATTATACCATGTCCACTGACAGATGCACCTGTTGTCAACCTGTCATTAACCTGAATGGGCACAGCGGCCGTATCTGAACAAGGACACCTGGGATTCCTAGAAGAACCCCAGAATGCTGTGTGTGAATGCAGTCTAACTGTTCACACCATGTCAGTTGAGCTGCATTTTTCTGCACACCAACACGCACATGTATGGTGGACAGGGCACGTAGAAAACAATTGTACATGTGTAGTGGTGTGAAGAAAAATGCAGCTCAAATGGACATAATGTGATCAAGCCCTTATGACTCTAAATTAAACCTCGCACCATTTTGATATTTCGGCGACTTTCCTGCTTGGCTCACTCAACTGTCACAGCCGGGAGAGAACTGCACTCCCCTGAAATCTCAGCAAACTAATGGTGCAGCTGATGGAGTAACACGTGGCAACAAAGTAACAGAAAGACCCAGCCAAATATCAGTTTGGGTTGGACTTCCTCTCTAAAAAACTTGCATATGTGGAATGGCGCATAAATAGAAGGAAAAAAGAGATTTGATTAATAATAATTACATGGTTTCATGGTAAACTGTGCCCTTGTACTATTTCCACAATGAAATGTTTCATATGTAATTGAAGGCTTCCTTTCAATAACGGCAAGTTTTCTAGTACACAAGTCACATGATTGTCTAAGAGATACTTTCATAAAAGTACACATGCTATTTTATGGTTCCTAGAGAACATTCACGAAGGTTATGTGAAAAATATCTGTTACCATCAGATGGCAACAACTCTTAACTCTTCATAATCATCATCCCTTAATCCTTTAAAGCAGTGGTTCTCAACCTGTGTAACCTCGGGACCCACATGTTTCCTTGGTCATTAAGGCGTGACCCAAAAATGATTTCATTTCTGAAACATTTGAATTTATTACACAAAACAACTTGTGCAGTATTCAGCAATATATATTTTGCTGAAAGTAAATGAATTAAAAAAAATTAAAAAGTTTATAAAGAATAAAAATTAAATATTTAAAAAAATTAAAATAAAAACGTGTGGGGGTGGCGGTTGCGGGGTACAGTTCCAATGGATGTTTATATAATGGGGGGTAGGGGGGGAATGTCTGCCCCGGGCGCCCATAACTCTGGTTACGCCACTGATACTGATGGACATTATGTGGGCTTGGAATACATAATGTCCATCAATGTACCCTGTCCTAATGTCCCCTGTCAGTGCAGAACCTGGAGGGGGTGGTGAGGGTGTCTGTATGGGGAAGGGGGGGCATTAGCAGGGGCACCACGGCAGGTTCTCTACTAAGCCCCTGCTAATGCCCCCCGAAGCTTCTGCATTGACAGGAGACATTACGACAGGGGACACTATTGGATATTATGTGGGCTTGGAATACATAATGACCATCGGTGTCCCCTGTCATAAAGTTCCCTGTCAGTGCAGAAGCTGGGGGAGGGGTGCATTAGCATAGGCTCTGCTGCAGGTAAAAAAATTGCAGCGGAGCCCCCTGCTAATGCCCCCCCTCCCCAGCTTCTGCACTGACAGAGGACAATATGACAGGGGACACTGATGGACATTATGTATTCTGAGCCCAGTCTGTGTAATAACATTGTGTATTTCATTAACATACATTATGACAGGGGACAGTGATGGATATACATGATGGATATTATGTGGGCTTGGAATGCATAATATCCATCAGTGTCCCCTGTCCTGTCACAGTGCACATCTCCCTGTCTGCCTACCTTTCTCTGATTCCAGCCGACTGAACTATCTGGACTGGAGAGTACAGTAGATACAGCGGCGGATTGATATCTGCTGTACTCTCCAGTGCAGACCGGAACTATAACTTAATTGTCGGGCGCCGCGGCCCCTGATATTAATGTGCCGGCCCAAAAGTGAGGAAATAGTCCCCTCTCTCCCCGGGCCATACCACTTTATCGGAGAGCCCGGGGGAGGCCGGGAGAGAGGGGACAGTTTGACATTATGAGGTTCCACAGGCTGAACCACAAATTCCCCCTCTAGTTCTCTCTAATGCAGATGGGCCGGCCTATGCAGACATGACGCCGCGACCCACTGCAGAGGGTGTCGCGACCCACTTTTGGGTCGCGACCCACGAGTTGAGAACCACTGCTTTAAAGGATACCTGTTCTCAAAGAAATATAGAGGCTACCATTATTGACCTCTTTCTTCAATAGACACTGTCCTTAGGTTACACAAAGTACAAAAACAGTATAAACCACTAAAAATAAATAAATAGCCACTTCCCAGAAAAGACGCCCAATGTATAGGGTGGGGTGCATAATTCTTATAAATTCCAGAACTTGAAATCCGAGATTACTAATATCTTCCCTCTGAAACACATATGACAACTGCCATCATTTTTCCCAGGAGGAACTGTAGATATCACCACATGGTGTTTAGCTAAGGTCTATAAACATGCGTAAAAAAAATCCCCGGATGTACAGTAATAGATGC